GACAAAGTTCTCCTTCTGCATGACAACGCTCGTCCACATGTTGCGAAGATGACTCGCCAGACGATTTCGGAACTGAGCTGGGAAGTTTTACCCCACCCAGCGTATTCTCTGGACTTGGCCCCTTCCGACTATCACTCATTCCGGGCCATCAAGAATCACCTGCGGGACAAGGCCTTCGACAATCGAGCACAGCTCGAAAATGATGTCAGCCGTTTCTTCGCTTCACAATCGCCAGAGTTCTAGGCAAAGGGCATCGAGCAGTTACCCGTGCGTTGGGAACATGTCATAGACAACAATGCTCATTACATTGTAGACTGAAATTGCATTTCATTAAAGTTATAAAATTGTGAATAATTTGTGCAGAGTGTTGCAAGACTTTCTTTCCAACCCAATATTTATCTTAAACCTTTTTACAATGAAATGTTGCTGATGAGTGCATTATAAAGATATAGAATGTACAGCATACATGTAGTCAAGAGAATGGAGTGTTTCACTGTTTGAGGTAGTTAGAACCATCGAAATCCATCACCTTGCATGGCATTAAAGTTCCAATTTACAATGAAAAACATGTTATTCATGCTCAACATCTTATTTTCTCAATTTGCTAGTTTTTACTCTGCAATTTCTATCTCCTTTTTTAGTTTGCTCAATAAATGTTGATATTTGGCAGGCATACTGATTTGTGCTCTACCATTGTCCCCTCGAGGACAGATGGCATTCATAAACGCAAATTTTCCCAAACTGAAACACATTGGTATAATTATAGTTTGGCACACTATGGGGATTCCCCTAAGGCTTGGTCATCAATATTATTCATTAAAGATACAGTAATATACACCTAGTAAGTGAATACAATCCACATCTCAAAAATGTGCTTTTTGTTGAAATTTATCCCATCTGAGGGGCAATTTAGGCAAAATTTATCCTGTCCCCAAGTAGTTAAGATATAGAGTGATGAAACTATTCAATATATTTTAGAAGGCTGAAAAAAAGAAAGAGCTTGAAAGTTGTTTTTTTTATTATTATTTCAAATTAAGCATTTTTCCTTCAGGAATTAGCTTTTATTGCATGTTTTTGCAGTTGATTATGAGTGTATTTAAAATTGTAAATTATTAGGCTGGTTGTTTTCGGAGGAGGTGAATTTTTCATTTGTATAAATAAATTTAATTGAAAATTAGCAGTCTCAAACTATTGATTCGAAATCAAAAAAGTATTATATGTATCTTACTCAATGAGATAGAAACTTGGGATATTTTTTAAATTTCATTACATAATTGCTGTTGCTTTCCCCGGATCATATATTGCAGTTATGTGTCATATATATTTAAATATTTTACATGTGTTGATGTATACAGTATAGCTACATGAATGAGAGCATATTTGGTGAAATAAATGATCCATGTGAGGCTCATTCATTCATCAAGCAAATACTAGCATTTTCATTTTCTATATACTAGAAGGTTCTGGTTAGACTCCTGCATGTATGATTATGTCCTAAGTTGAAGTATAATTTATATGTATATCAGCTACCTAATTTCACATTACCTGACAAATGTCTAAATTTTAGTCAAATATAGGCTTTCCTTGAAAACCCATGATGACCATGTCCCTTGGCAGCAACTCTTAAAGCAAAATTTCCAGAGGCAAAGGTGTCTGACATTGCCTCAGCTCTCAGTTAACCTTTTAACTAGCCAGGCTTCCTGCTAGTGCTGAGTTTTTAGCATGCTTCATGTTGAAATAATTAAAAAAATTTTCAGAGGTCAGTGATCAGATATCAATTTGTCCATCATTCAGCAGGCAGATTTAGAATTTACAGATATCATTTGACCATGACAGCTACACTGCTGGTATGGCTGGCTATGTCTAGTATACTGGACACCCACTGCAAAAGAGGTGATGGCAAAGCAGCAAAAGAAAAGGATGATGAAAAATGAAGTGCTGAATATCCCTAAATGGTGATGACCCATTTGACACCTGGATGAAGGATCAGCAGTGGTTATTTAATGTTTTATTATTCATCCTTTATGGATGAATCTGGCTTATCAACTTAATGAATCTTGATTACCAGATTGCAACAATTTTTGTTTACCCACTCCAGCATGTTTTTAATTTCAGTGCAATACAGAGATGTTCTTGTTTTTTCCAAGTCATGAAGTGACAGTTGAAGTGTCAATTCTCAACATAGCTCCTGAAGTCATATATGACATTTGAGCTAGATTTGTGAGGATGAGATTTTTGTGCTTCATACCTGCTCTGGTTATGTCTCCTATCAGGCATGACATGTATGCCCCACCATATACAAAATAGTTGGGCTGTCAATCGATTAATCGTGAGCCATTTAGTCGAATTTTAATCGATCCCTTAGTGATAATTGGAAGCATACAGTGACACTTCATTACTCGGAGATTTAAATATTCTTTATCAATTTACGGGCAACACAGGATGGAAGAGCAAAAATAGGAGCAAGCAAGGAATAGGAGAGGTTTTCACACTTTCGTTTCCATTTCTCTCGCCTGCCCCTAGCTTTCCCCCTCTCGGTTACTTTCCGGGGGCTCCTACAGACCTTCGCCGGTGCCATTACACGTACGCCTCTCACTCCCCGGTCACATTATTCTCTTTCCTGCCTCTCTTGTCTCATGTCTCTGCCCAACTTCCCTCTTCCTTCTGTGCTTTCTCTTGCAGCTTCTTCATTACGACGACTTTATTTTCCCCATTCGCATCCTGTGACTTTTCGGTCGCTTTGCCCTAAGCCTCTGCTACCTTAGCCAGACGCGCGAGACCTGCAAGGCTATGCCTTTAAAGGCTGTAGGCTAGGCAGAAGGACGCGGGATGCGTACAATTACGCTTGTGGATGCGAAAGGGTCTGGAAGGTTTTTTTTTTTCTAATAATCTGAAAGCGAAGGCTTTGTTTTTAGGCGTTCCCTTTTTCAAAAAAATAGTATGTCGTTTTTGAGGAGGAGTGAGCAATGCAAAAACGACTGCCTTATCTAAGCCATCATTACATTTCATTTCATTTCCTTAATAAAGCATTCGTTTTTGGTTGGTTTGCAAAACGATGAACTAAACAGTAAAACTATAAGGGGCGAAAGAGGCATTCAGGGGAGATTAGGGGTAGATTAAAATTCAATTAATTTCAACTAATTGTTTTGATCGTGATTAATACTTTAATCTAATCTAATTGACATCCCTACAAAGTAGATATATGAAAGTCACGTAAATATTGTTATCTCTCTTGCTCCATGCATGTTCCTCATTAAGTTCATATAAAGCCCTGCCATATATGATCATATACTAATTGTTACAATAACAAGATATGGCTAGATATGCCAACATTCCATAAAATCATATATGGCTTTCTACATTCCTCAGTGCAAATCGTTATACTATAATTTTTTTAATTCTGAAATCCCATCATAATGAAAATGTCACGTTTTTGCAGGTATCTTGCATGCTGCAGATGAAAGGGACTTCAAGACGGCCTACTCTTACTTTTATGAGGCTTTTGAGGGCTATGATAGCATTGACAACCCCAAGGCCCTCACAGCTCTCAAGTACATGCTCCTTTCCAAGATCATGCTCCACCAGTGAGTTACCTTTATTCTCTGATGTATCTCATATTAAAGTCACATAAATGTTAGACTTCCCCATAATATTACAATGAATATTCTCTTTCAGACCCGAAGATGTCCAATCAATCATCAGCGGTAAGCTGGCCTTGAGGTACGCTGGCAAAGAGATTGAAGCCATGAAGAGTATTGCTCAGGCCTCACATAATAGATCCTTGGCTGACTTCAAGCGGGTTTGTCTATCCTTTATTTTTGTGGGCCCCAAAAAGGTACTGGCAATCTAATGATCAACTGTTGGGCATTAGAACAGCTTACAGGTTGTAGGTTTGGATTTGCATGTGCAGAATTTATCTGATGTGGATTCTCCATCCGATTCATATGGGGATTAATTCATGATCAGTAATGATGCGCATTTAATTTCACCCCAAATCCCACTCCTCATCTCAGGGTTCTAATCAGGAAATTTCCTAAACTAGGCGGGCTCATTGATTTACCGCCGTGGACACACTCACCAACCCCCTCCCGCCTCCCTCAGCCGCTCAGTTTTTCCATTTCAATTTCAGGACAAAAAAAGAGAATAGAAATTTTATCGGAAGGAATCTCGGGCACGATTAACATTCCCTGCAAGAAAAACCTCGAGTGAGAAGAAAATACGAGCTCATTGCTTCTCGGCTTCTGCAAATAGACATGGCCTCTGAAAACTGGAAGTCCTTGAGAGGAGGACCTTCTGCAAACTGCGTGAAGCTGTTCAACGATAAGGCTTTCAGATGATTTCCCAGTCGTGTTTTAAAGCGCTTCAGGAGAAAGAAATTTCATCCACAAGCAACAAACGTTGGAAAGACTATCACAGCAACTTTACTTTTGAACCCGAACTCGACCTTACTGCCCACTAATAGAAAACCGTGATTGAGAGACTGATGGATGGGGAGCAAAATTAACTCTTTCAAGTGCAACGTGCCGAATAGGATGCGCGCGCGTTAAAGATGTTGCGGAGCATCGTGCCTTATACGGATTTCGGCCTCGTCCAAGCTACTTGTGCGCGATTGCGGTCAGGGCTCCCCTGTTGCATGCTTTTGCGAGTACCACACGTTGAAGACTCCTAAGTCTTTGGTTTCTTTTTTTTTTAGTTTTGTTTTCTCATATGTTCAGATGGAATATAATGAATTGTCTTCTCCGGCGTTCGCAAAATGGAGCGCAGCGCTTGCGCCCACCGGAAATGCGCTGTACTGTTGTGCATTTGTCATGCTCTGCAGAACCCGTTTTTGAAGACGATAAGGATTTCTAGATTCTGCTTGCGAGAGGGAAAGAAAGGCATGAAAGTATGCGGGAGTGGGTTCCCGGGCGGAATTGGCGAGGATTTTCGCGCTTTCTATGTATTTCCTTTGCCCGCTACTTCGGATGGACGACTCGCGTACGGGCTGGCATACCCATGCTCAACCGACTGGCCAGTCCATACCACAATACAACTGAATAACTGGGATTGTCTCTGCAGCTTTAAGTCAGTCTTCGTCGGTTAGGGATATTCCAAGAAAGACGAGAGAAGCTTCTGCTTTTTTCTTTCAAACTGGGCCACAACGAAAATTCCGTAATTTTAACTGGCCCCCACCCAGACCTAACTAGAACCCTGCATCTTTATGTTCATGAAGTTTGATCACACTGCAACTACATGAACTTTTCCTGTACGAAAGTCTTATAGCTGATATATCATTATATTGTCGTTATCCATTCAGAGACTAAGGCCCGAATGCACAAACTTCATTTAGGTGGGACAAAGAGACCTTTGAGCCATAAAGCTCTTTTTTTCCCCATAGGAGTCCATGTTATCTTAAGGGACCGTCAACAAGAAGTTTCAGCATTGCAGCCTAAGTATCTATGAATCTGTTTGATCCAATGATTGGCAAATCATAAATTGCTATGGATCCCCATTATGCAAAAGAGTTTTGCTTGTGATTCAAATATCTCAGACTTTTTGTTACTCAGATTGACTTTGACCATTCCTCAACTTGTTGTGCTAGGCCATATCTTTGTTGAACTTTTTTAGATTTTAAATTTTTAAATACTTATTCAGAGGAAATCTTTTTTTTTTTTAAACCTTTTCAGGAGTAAGCTCATACATTTATGGGCCGACACTATCCTGTCCTCCATTTATTTACTATGGGACATCTTGCAGGTGTTAAAAACTCACTCATCAAAGGATTAATGGATACCATCAATTTGACTGTAAATGAATTGTAGCAATTGTAATTTTTTTGGTCTGATGCATAACATGTCTTGTCATTAAGAGGTAAGGTAACCCTAATGCATTTCCAGTGCTGGCATGGCCTGCCTCAGAAACGTTGATTTCAATTCTCTCATAGGATTTGATTTGGATTCTATTTCTTTTGCATACAGCATTTTTTAAATCCAGAATTCAATAGCAAAGAATATGAATTTAGGGTCATCAGGCTGAAGTGATTGAAAAATTGGCCCATAAGTGGTTAGGTTTGTACACTTTCTTGGAAACTGAGAAATGATGAAATCTTGATATTTGCAGACACTGAGGTCATATCGAACAGAGCTTGAGGAGGATCCCATCATTCGAGCTCATCTTGACTCCCTCTATGACAACATGCTTGAGCAGAATCTCTGCCGCATCATTGAACCTTACTCACGAGTTCAGGTTTGTTTGTTTTTCATGAGCTTATAGCATTCCATGGCAAGTCTATTTGAGATATAGATTATGAACATACTAATGCAAATACCAGAAAATTTGTATGGTCATTGCCAACTCATGTGTTTGAAGTACTATATACTTGACCTTGGCATGAAATTCCTTGAGTACCAAGTGAATGAAACCCACATTTTAAGCAAATCACTGGTACTGTTACTGACAAAGGGTGTCAGATCATAAACTTGATCATCCTAGTTATTAAGCATCAAATTCAAGATGCGTTATACATGCAAGACATTTTCCTAAAGCTTGAGTGATGGAATTGGGAGCACGTGTTTGGTGGGAGTGCTTGAAAGACATTCCTCATTTTGTGGTCTATGTTGCTTGCATTTTGCATCCTCTCTTTGCCATCTTCAATTTGCCACTTTTTTGTCACTATTCTGCTTGAATAGCTTAGAATATCTCAAAACTAGGAGGCACATAGTATTTCCTTCAACTTTGTGTAAGTCCTGTATGGATAAGGCCTCCTCCTGCTTCACCTTCCCCTGTGGGGAAAAAAAAACTGATTCTTCCATGAATGGTCCACATAATAAAATCAGGATTGATGAATATCCTGTTGAATGTTTGAATAATTTTGTTTATTAATCTGTTCATGATTAACCTTCCGTTGATGTGCATGAGTGAATCCAGTTTCTTTGAGCCCTATATATTTCAGCCATAACCCATAACCTACCCATCAAGACTGAAAGTACTGATGACAGCAAGATGGAATGAATATTCCAATCAAATGTAAAGGGTCACTGATTCATTTTTTTGAAGCACATAATTGACATTTTGCCATTTCAGCAAGTTCTCAAATGAAATTGATTATTTTAATGACTTTGACTAATGAGCCCATAAGTGGCTAATAAGCTCATAGCTTGACTAATATTTCATGATTGGCATGAGTGATTTTTTGGGTCTGCTTTGTGTGTATATCAGAGGGGCTTGTGTATCATTCCTATGCAAGGCAGGTTCTCATTAGAAAATAGGTGGGTTGCCTGTTCACTATAGTAAGAACCCATCATTGTGACTAAGTTTTCTCATGTGCTAGAAGTGATATTGCCTAAAGTAGTCAAGAAATAAATTTTTAATGGAAAAGGGTTACTTTTTTGGATCAATGGAGCACCAGATACCATTGATCCAGAATCTCTATTTTGTCCTTGAAATAGTGGATCCAGTAGTGTGCCCAGAAAATCCTCATGTGGGGGTTGACATAAGAAAAATTGGTAACCCACCCTGCATTTATGGCTGAATTAAAATTTTTTTGAGGATTGAACCTGTAAGATGTATCTCAATACAACCCCCAAAACCACCCCCCTTTGGGCATGCCATTCAGTGAATCCAACTGACTTGTCAGGCTTTTGAATTTAGAGGAGGCATCAAAAGATTTTAGTTGTAAAGGTAATTCCATATCCTACTTTCAGTCCCATACTTGTACATTCCTATTAACTGCAACTTTTAGTGAGTGTTTAAAGAAGTGATGAAACTGGCTAGACACACAGTATGGCAGCCATTTAAATGCATGGAACTCAGTGTTACATGGCATGGGTGCTATGCAGGTAGCCTTATCCTATTCTGGGTATTTTATTGCATTTCATTTATATGAAAAGCACAATACAGTTCTAAATTCCTTTTATATGCTCACAGGTGGAACACATTGCCAAGAACATCCGGTTACCTCAAAGCCAGGTGGAGAAGAAACTGTCCCAGATGATCCTTGACAAGAAACTTCAGGGGATCTTGGACCAGGGCGAGGGTGTGCTCATCTTGTTTGACGATGCACCTGAGGACAAGACATACAAGGCTGCCCTTGATACCATAAATCATATGGGCAAAGTCGTGGACACACTCTATCATAAAGCCAAGAAACTGACTTAGCCTCATATCCTCTCTTTGTAATAAGTGAATTCTTTTTTTTCTTCTCTTCTTTCCTCTCTCTCATCTGGACATCATCGCCAGTCATCATCATCAATATCTCTGTGAATGGATTGCAAGGATCTGTGAAGGCAGCCGTCTCCCTTTCTTTTCAACTTGACTGTTTTCCTCTCATATGGTTGTGAGTGGATCTCTCATATTTACAAAACATGAGGTTTCTCCTCACTTCCTGTTGTACTTTTTCCACCATAACCACTTCTCCTTGCATTCCTCTGGGCTGTTGTCTTGATTGAAATCTGGACATCCCAAGGCTGATAACATGATAGAGGGAGGTGTGCCTTATGAGACCTGAGCATGTCTCCTGAAACAAGAGTTTTGTTCAAGAAATAAAGTAAGGTATTATTGAAAATCTCAATTTCCACTGTTTCATTTCTCACTCGATGGCTGTAAACTCTCCAATCCCAATCGTCTGCGATAGCAGTGTGGCCTGGTTGACCCAAATGGAACTAGACTGGCGTGTGGGAGTGAAAGAACATTGGCAACACTGGAATATAGTCACGTATGCGTGACGTGGCTGGTGAATGCTCCGAGTGCGCAGGTGCAATGACCAGCTGGGACGCGTGGAGGAATCATTCCAATCGCCAAGATGTCCGCTTCAACACGTGCTTATATTCTTTCCCGGCTTTTGAGAGCATGACGATAATTCTCACTTGCATCTCTTGCCTTGGCGGAGCAGCGTTATAGGTAGTGTAGGCTCTGCCTGTGTTGGTAGGCTTTATGATAGGTTAGGCATATCTTAACAGATGATAGTTTTGTCAGGTTGTAGCTGAACGGTAGGCCTAGGCTAGACCAAGCTCGTCCAAATGAAGCCTTGGTTGTTCCACTTTCACTGCTAGCGATCCCCCTCAAATCAGGCATAGGGTTTTTAGCGAGAATGTTATGGGTACGGCATCTATATGAAGGAGCCAGAGAACAAGCAGTGGCGTCACCAGGCAGTCATGAAAGTATTATAAGGCTGAGTCTACTAGCCGAGCTGGCTCGGCTCAGACATGAGGGACGAGCTGGAAGTTACCTGACTCAATGTTTCCTCAGTTGTTGACACGTATATTATATGGGAGAGAGCTTGTCCTCAAAGTTAGAACTGAGCTGACTTCTGAAGTGAGAAGAATGTCCAAGGTATGGTGACCACATTTTTTTTTAAAGGAAAATCCTGGATATTTTATATGGACATATCCCTGCATTTTCAGTTAATAGGCTGATGAGCTGCTTGCTACAAATGAGAGGCACTTAAAGGAAATATCCCTGGATAGTTTTCTCAGCAGGGCACTACCTCAAAAACAGGCACTGTTCCAGAGAAAATGGACTGTCCCAGTTTTACCAGGACAATCTGATCACCCTGGTCTAAGGTTAGGCCAAGAAGTCATAAAGGCTGATACATGCATGTTTCAGAGTGATGGTTTTCATCATGTTGCATCAAGTGGCATGTACATTGTTTTCAGCAACTAAGAGTACTTATTAAGATGCAGGTTGTCATAAAGTCAGGGTAGAGGGGGCTCAATCAAAGCCCAAGTAGAATGCATGGAATAGAGTCCTTAATGGGTGACAGGCACTTGTGGGACTATTTTGGGCTTGCATTTGCCTGGCATTTTAGTAGATCATATAATGGATGGCATGCACCAGCCCAATTTGTCGACTAAGTTGATTTCAAAGCAGGTGATGAGAGATAAGAAAGAATTTCCCCACTTCCCAGGATGAAACGTCTTAAATTTTATTTAGTACATGCTATGTACATCTTATGACATAATGCAAGAAGTTTTTAAAGAACCATGATATTCTACAATGGAGAGGAGTCTAGTTTCAAAAGTTGGAGGAGGCTCAAATGCAAAAATTATTTGCTCAAAATCTTCCCACAAGGCTAAGGAAGCACCTTCCTTTACCTTAAAAGAGATGCATGCATTTTGTGGACTACCAGAAGCTTTATGATTCTGAGAGTGAATTTTGTGGTCACAATTCCTAGCTCAGCCAGTAGACACTGCCTTATTGGAATGGTGAAATTTTAAGAACATGGTGCTTCTGCTTCAAGGCATAGGTTCAAAAAGAGGAGAAATAAATATAACCTTTATCAAGTACATAAGAATTAGGTTTGTACCGAAGCACAACATTGGTAGACAATGGTGATTTTTAATTGATTGCTTCCCCCTGCCCCATTACAAATGGTGTCACATTTCATTAAACTGAATTTCATCTGCTCTCTCAAAGTAACTCCATGATGAAATCTGACAGAAGTGGGATTTTGGGAAATGATTACCACAGTAGATATAATCAATTGAAAATTATTGAACATCTTCACCATTGTGATAATACAAGTATCCCATGAACTTATTAATATGATCATTTCCATGCCCTATGTCTGTGTACTTGCACTGAGTCACTCTTGCAATGCTGTAACTGTTGACCACCAAACATTTTTACTTTTTTACAACAGAGCCAATGCTTGGGACTCGTGTAAGTTTCTTAGGTACTTGTTTAGGTAATTTTTTTGCTTTTAGGCATCATAAAATGGAGCTGCTGAGAAAATTCTCTCTAACCTAACTAGTTTGGAATATTCCAAAAATTGCTTAGGCCTTCTGCCTAAGGGAGAACTATGGTAAGAAAATCATAAGTGGCAGCAGGATATGAATCCTAAGTTGTCTGCCCGCAGCTGTGTACTTCTTCTGGGCTCTGGCCCATGGAGGTAATGCAGATGACTCCATTTTCTTTAGTAGCTTCCATGTGGCCCTGGCCTAGCATCACCTTTTTTTTCTGGAGGGTCTATATTTTGGGGAACCAAGGGAGTATGCATCTGTGTCCATGTGTTTGATGTGGTGCCTGGTCTCTTCATATCTCAAACTCATTACACTTTACTACCTGTTTCTTCATTGCCAGTGAGATCTGATAGCATGAATCCTTACAATTTGAAATTTGGTATCAACTGGGATGGGTTGGATTTCTGTCCTCTGACTGAAAAGTAGCCTGCAGATAGTCTGTTAAATTGATTTTTGTAAAGTTTGGAAGCCTATAGCTTTTTTAAATATTAAGAATGTGTCAAGTTTTTCGTCTAATTCATCCATATTGGGGTCTTCACGGGATGCACAAGGTCCAGGGAATGTAGCCAAATTAAAATCTCAACCCCCAAGCAGTTGATCTTATTTATGGTGTATAAAACATTTTTTCAGAACTTTGAAGATTGTCTTGATGAAGGGAATGTCTTGACCTCTAAAAACATTGAGGGTGGATTTTTGAACAGAGTACTATCCAATAATGCTGCTTTATTTACCGGATTTATAATGCATTTTCTCAGAAATAAAGCTGCATTATCGGATAGTTCTCTGTTCAAAAATCCACCCTGACTCTCTTTTAAAATATCATCTTGTTAGAGTACATTTCCTTGACTTCAAAGGCTTGCTTTAGACCTGATATAAAAAAGGAAAAAAACTTGTGGCTTTAAAATAAACAGGAATGGCAGGGGGAGGGGTGTGAGGATTGCTCAGGATATAAGAAGAGCCCAGTAGCCATGGAGATAACTCGGTTCAGGGTTCTCAGAATATTCCCATTTACTTTCTTCTCTCTCCAACATAAGGCTGTGTCTATTCTCTAGCACTAGCAGTTGTTTTTTTTTCAATTGACTGCCATTCACAAGGCAAACTAAAATTCTCTCAGTAGATCCACCTGCCTCTTGAAGTACAGGCTGATTGGTCATTCATTGGTCAATGAGGCACCTTCAAAAAATAATTCCAAATGAATTCTCCTGAGTATTGATGAAATGTGAAAGTTCATTACAGCATTGCAGTGGATAGCATGTAATGCATCACAGCAGCCTAGTTTGTGAGTAAAAAGAAAGCCTTAAATTTGACAAAAATGTTAGGTGCTTCAGCATATTTCTGAAGCCTGTCTATGTGAGTTTTCACCCAAATCCTTTTTGGGATTGATGCTGTTTAACATTGGATAGCACTATCCTGTTCAAGATGTCCAAGTTCCCAACATATACTTATTTATGAAGAAAACCCCACAAAAGAATCACATGGTATCAAGTCTGGGCCACTGACAGGCCAGTCAACACTCCCACATCTCCCAATGATTCATCCTGTCCTCTGTGTTCCTATGCAGTGTGCTTCTACAGTTCACCAGTGATCATAAGAGTTGATTGGTATTATTCCTAAAGTTTTTTTTATTGGCCAGTGACTCATCAATCACCCTAGACCTATTATTGTGAATGAAGCCTCAAATTCATCAATATTGATCCGTATTGAAAATCCAGAATCCATGCTTGCCTTTTTGGAACACAATAGTTTTGGTGGTGACTTGATCTGTTGGCACTAGATCTATCACTAACATCTCCAAGATGGCTCCAGGAAAGCAGAAAGTCCTCTCAAAAGAAGAAGAGTTGCTCCTGCAGGATTTCAGCCGAAGTGTGTCCAAGAAGTCCAGTGCCCTCTTCTATGGGAATGCATTCATTGTTTCTGCAATTCCAATTTGTAAGCCCTTATACATGTATGATTAGTTTGCCTTGTAGTCCTTTAGACCTCTGCTACTAGTGAACTTTTAAAGATAAGGTGGAAATTCATGGGGTTATGGAATAGGATTCTATGTGCAATATGGCATTATCCCCTTGGGCCATTCCTATAATCAAGCTATGCCTATTCTTGGTGACATTGGCATCTGTTATAATGAAATAGGTCATGCTGAAAGTTTGTAATACACATGATATTTTTTAGGGCTGTTCTGGCGTATACATTTGATGGACCCAATGAAGTCAGCTCTGCTGTTTGCTGCCATCACCCTTGCAAGCAGTTGGCTGGTGGCATTTGCTTACAGGAACACAAAGTTTGTCCTCAAGCATAAAGTGGCTCTCAAGAGGGAAGAGGCCATTACCCGGGAAATCAACAAAAAATTCGCTGATGACAAGAAAATGTCCAAGAAGGAGAAGGATGACAGGTTTGTCAATAATATCCACTCACTTGCCTGAGTGGTAGTACTCTTTAGAATGAGTTATCTGAAATGTTTTTCTGAGCAGAATCCTCTGGAAGAAGAATGAGGTTGCTGACTATGAGGCAACAACCTTCTCCATTTTCTACAACAATGCTCTCTTCCTGGCACTCATCATTGTCATCTCCTGCTACATTCTCAAGTCCTTCTCCCCTTCCATGTATCCTTCTCTGACTATAATACTTTTTTCTGGGAATGTGACATATCTGCACCAGGTTACTGCCAGGTTACACTGGGCCATCAAAGTATCACTGCCTTAGATCATAATAACCGGTAAACTGGAATCCTGGGAGCTGATCCAACTTTGCCCCTGGCAAACTTCACAAGGTTAAGCTTGCCAAAATCTGTTAATGAATATGTATATTAACCCCTTTACTGGTATTTCCAATAAATTCTTGGGCTTCTCTTATAGTGGGCGCATTCAGTTGTGACCCAGGTCATGACCCGAGGTTTATGATTCTTGGCAGGTGCGGCGCTTTTCAAAAACTATTGTACTCAGGATTGATGACATTGACAAGAGATGTCACTGGAGTAAAATTTATTTTTAAGCATCAATGCAAGCATTGAACTGAGATCCTCAAGTCATGACTCAATTCACAACTGAATGCACCCAGTGTGTCATATAACCTGCCAGTGAAGGGGTTGAATGAGAAAAGAACCTACTCTAAGCCTTTTTTTTTAATGTAGTTAATTTTACCTGGAGAAAATGTAAATTTGATACTGCAAAAGAAAGAGATGGCAGAATGAAAAGAAATGGAAATGAGGCACATTTATTGAAGCACTAAGATTGATTAGCTCTGTATTGCCTTCTGGAGATGTGATAAGTTGATTAACCCTTTGAGGAGTATGCCCATATATTTACAGGCTGACACTATCCTGTCCTTCATGTATTCACTACAGGGGATCTTGCAGGTGTTTAAAAAAAAGCAGGGGTATCAAACTCAATCAGGCTGGAGGCCACACTAACAAATCTTACATCAAATGTTGAATGCAGACAGTTTGAAATTTGCAACCTTATTTTGAATGTAACCGTTGAAGAGGATTTTGCTGGCTGGACATAATAGACTGGTGGGTCTCCAGCTTGACACCCATGGCTTATTGGTTATAAATTGAGGTTTTCTATAAATTATTAATCGAGCTTATAAATAGAGATGTATTGTAGATTAAATGAAAACATAAATTTTTAAATCCAGGAACTCAGTAAAATGTTAAATTTTTTAAGCTACTGAAATATAGAAATTGAAGTAACTAGGACTGAAGAATGGTTGAAAGATATCCTTGACTAATGACCATGCAGGAATTATACCCTGTCTGTTGGACTGGCAAGTGGCCTCATCGCCCTCCTTTCCACTGGATCTCAGTGACACTGAATGAACCAACCCTCTTGTTGAGAGAATGGATACAAATATGTGTATCTCTAATTAATAAAATTATGATCAATACCTCCTCGTGTCATTGATGCTTCATCCAAAGTTTTTACCAGGTGGCTATACCATTAATATTAGGAATTGCTTTGATCCCCATCTGTTCAATAAATTCAATGAGATTGATTGTGAATTTAAAAAATAATTTACCTTATTTTGGGATGCAGTGAACCACACATGAGGCACACATTGTTTCAATGTAAAATCTAAGTTCATGTCCTTTTCATTAAGTAGTCTCCAAATTTTACTATTTTATGTTTTTCCGGATTCAAAGAAACATGTCCTTGTATGCAGCTGCAATCTGCATCTGTCACCTATTGTAGGAGCTCAGCAGCCATCTCAAAGTAGGTAAGGGTGGGACTAAACAGGGTCACCCATATTTCAACCAAACGATGATTGATATCTATTGGTTATTGATTGATATCATGTTTTTGAGGTTTTCATCATGGCGAAATCCCCATGAAGCTTTTAGTAAACACTAGGAGCAGAAAAAGAAACAGTGATTTTTTCGTATTTTATTTCAAGTTTTTGATTTGCGAAACAAATTGGGATGGGAATGTTGGAGGCATCCAATATTTTTTATTGTGAAGTATGAGCTATAAGAATCTATCGTTTATTGTGTTGCTCATTTAATTTGTTTCATCCTCATCACATTGTTAGATATTACTTGTTGGGCATAGTGCCTCATATCAATATGCTTGGTAATCCCCATTTCGTTTCTTTAACTCCTTCCCGTTTAAAAAAATCCTTCGTCGCATATCCTGGAATGCGGAAAGAAAAAAGAAAGAGCGGGATATCAAAAATAATTTTTTGGCTGGAGTGCATTTAACCCCGGTGATATTTTCTCTTCCCTCTCCACTCCTCCGGTAGTCATATCTGGGAGATTTCGAAATAGAAAGCCTAACCAAAAGAAAAATAAATACTTTTTTTTTTTTTTAGCAAAATACTTTTCCTTCGTTTTTGGCCATGTTCATGGGATGAGGTGAAAACGAAAGGGTGGCTAGTAGTGGCCAATGGATGTGGTGCATTATGGACGTAGGCCATATGTGCAACATCAGTTTTTTAGTCGGAAAGGTTTCATTACTGCTTCTTTTCCGTGACCTTTGTAAGTAAGCCTCCATAATGAAGAAACACATTGTAAAGCAATATTTGAGGGGACACCCCCTTTTGCCCCACATGGAAACCCTATATATCATTAGCTAAATGAGGACATTATAAACATTGTTTAAAGCTTTCGGTAAAATAAAACTCCTGATTTTGTGATGAAGTTGATTTCTAGTCGTAGATTGTATATGTGTAGTAGTGAAGTGCCGCGTACTAATCCACAACGGGCTGCGCCAGTTCCTTGGTACTCAAATGTGGCAATTTTCCTTAGCGTCCCTGTTCCTCCTCACTTATCACTGAGGTATTTTCACATCATCTAGAAATGCACAGGGTGGTGCAAAACCTTGGCCACCCTCTCCACAGCTAAAACAAGAGAAATTAGTACAAAGCTTAATATAGGGTAAAGGCACCGGTTTGTGGACGGGTTAAGGAAATTTTTTATCTTTGAAATTGTACTACGGTCGTTGGATTCACCGGAGAACTGTGTATTTGGTTTCAATATGAGGTCACATCATAGCTATATATTCATACTCTAGAATTGAGTATTGATTGCATACTTTTCCAGCAATAGGTATTTTAATAACTATATGTGGATTTTCACGCTGTTCCTATTTGTGGACGACCTGGTTCCAGTTTGTAGACCCAGTTTGTGGGCGACTCCAGTTTTTTGACAATCATGAACATGGATAGGCCTTATGAGAAGATATAACCATGAAATGTGTGCAACAGTTTTATTCAGCGTCACTGAGATGAAAACGAAAGGAAAATCACTCATTCTTTGCTCATTTTTTGGCATGCACAGCTACATCCGACCCATTTTGGCGAAGTCGAACTCAATACAATTGGAAACCCGGTGCGCGTTCTCCAATGAAGTCCACGAGATCTAATCGCTCAAACAACATTCATTAATCAATTAATTTTATTCATTAATCCAGACGAAAAGTTTCTCTTTTGTCGCCAAAACCCTTTCCTTTTGGATGATCTCGGGGCTCCCTATTGAAGTATCAGGCCTCCGCTTCGTGAAAAATGTAATATATCTTTCTTCTGGTAAGTTATTAGTAGACGGCCTATTTGCTCCTCAATTAACAAGAAACTCTTTGCCGACAAAGCTAGTTCGTAACGTGTCTTTTCGTCCGTATGATGCGAATTTACAGTGCTGGCCTCATGTTTAAAATGTTTCTGATTTTGAAAAGCTTCACTGGTAAGGACTAAATCATTCAATGGAAGACTTATTGATGTAGTTGGCCAACCTTGACTATTTCTCTGCGGACAGCACAGGGAAATAACCCTATATTGACTTTCCGAGGGGCCTAGCACCATTGGTTTCCCGCAGATAGGGTATTTTAGGACCCCAAGTCTTTTGACAGTGCGTCCAATAGGCAGACTACCATCGCGTATCCCGCTAAGTGCGTTATGTAAATCACCATCTGTGTATTTTGCTTTGAGCATTTTTTAAAAAGGGATTTTGGAAAATAATGGAATTGATCTATAAACGTTTTCTTAGGCCCTGGTCCTATTTCTCCACAAACACGAAATTGCTAGAATTATGGATCAAGGTTGTGAACACTTAAAGGAACAGTCATCTTCAGACTGGAGCCTTTTCTGGAGATTTGTGGTCACCATATCGGGTACTGGCTGATACGAGGTGTGGCTATAAAGTAATGAGACTGATTTTTCTGTGCGGCTTGTCCATGGAGAGGAGTGTTTCGTGCAGGGACATGTTTCTGCCAGAAGCCGTTGTGAAAAGGGGCGCGTGTTTCTTCATGTCGTAAAGATGAAAGATCGTTATTTAAAGCAGAGAATTGACTTCAAATTTTGTGTGAGGTTGGGGAAGTCTGCAAGTGAGACACTTGAAATGTCAACACAAGCCTATGGGGATAAAGTAATGTCAAGAGCAAGAATTTTGACAGGTGCAAAAGGTTTAAAGAAGGCAGGGAAGACGTCAGTGACGATGCACGAAGCGGTCGTCCAACAACCCACAGGACTGATGAAAAGGTCAGAGATTTGGTTCGTTCAGCCAGACGCTAGCGGTGTTCTGTATGCACATGGTGGGAACACTAAGAATTAAAACAAGTTCAAATCTTCAATGAGGCATTCAGAAATGATCCAATTTGCCATAATTTCGTTTGTTTTGGCTGTGGGATAGGGGGGGGGTTAAGACCATCTTTTCCAGTTATTTATGCCCCTATAGCAGATGGTTTAAAAAATTATAAAAATAAAACAATTTCTTTTTCATATTACACCGATGTGGAGATCTTCGGGATCTTCGTTTGGTTGTTCAAACTGTTACAAGCGAAGTCATTTCATGGCTCCTTCCGGATAGAGCGACTTAAGCAAGTCTTTCAGACAAAAAGACCTTGTAGGCTTCCATAATCTCAATTTTAATTGTAGGAGAGACTGAATGATACTGCACCAGGTTTTCATAAATTTTTTTTTAACCATGAAACATTCCCGTTTTCCTAATGGAGGCTATTCGAGCTTCGTCCCACAGCATTCAAGAGACACGCCGTTCGAATTCGGAATGGCCATTTGTTAATAGAAAAATCTATAGGGCCGTGAAGCTCGCTTGGCAATCGGATTTCAGATCGAGTGAGAGCCAAAACTCCATCAAAGACTGTGTACTGGAGATTTGAGCATAGGCACCGAACCCATGGGGACAAAGGAGCACGTACCCACCCCCCCACCCCCACCCCCCAACAATGTTATTGGGGGGGTGGGGAGGGGGGGGCAATGCCCCCAGAGAATGGCCGAAGTACAACAAAAGTATGGCACACAGAACATGGGAAACAAAATGCTGTTTCACGAAAGATATGAAAAATATGCTTTTCCTAACTGTTCTGAGCTCCAACTGAGAGATCCCCGTCACCACGTAAAGCAAGGGTCGGGAACTTTTTTGGCCATGTGAGTAGGATTAAGATTGAGCTAGGTGCTTGTGATCGAAAGATTTTCAGGGCAAAATAATTTTTCCTGAAGTTGGCAACATACATTTGCATTCTTTGATACATGAGAAAAATGAGGAACAACCATGATTTTCAGCCATGCCTCAATGAGCCAAACTTTTCAGCTCGTGAGCCATAGGTTCCCGACCCCTGACGTAAGGGTATGGGGTGGAAGGGCGTGGGTCTTTGAACCTCCTTGTCCAGCAAACCCCCCAAAATATTTTTTCGAAGTTGGCGCCTGTTTGCGAGGACTGCGGCTCGTGAAGCTCTTGAGTCTGAGTTTTGATTCTCTGAGTCAGATATTGAATTGGATACGAGTCAAGAATTGAATCGGGCCGATCGATTCGGATTCGGAAAAATCGACCAGTGCCAGCGTCTAGTCGGCAGACAGACACGCACAAAAAATGTCAGCGTCAAGAAGTCTGACGACTTGGTTATAGCAACTTTTTCATAAAATGAACTGTTTTAAAATCTCCACGTACTTCTAATTTTTTGTGGGTGAAGGGCTACTTCATGCGAGTCATGAGAGTTAATTCCTCCAGGTCCACCTCACTCTTTTTTAAGCTAACATCCTCATACTGACTAATAAAAAACAGAGCAGGTGGAGTATTGTGGGTTTGGTGATGCCATCTCATGAGACCACTTGGACCTGCTAGGGAAATTGCCACATTCCATCGCCCCGAAACTGGCTGAATGTGGCATTGTGTATGTGCTACTCTCCTTTATTTCTCGAGTGCTTGTGGGTGCCTCCGGAGGAGATGATGAAGGAACAGAAATAAAAACTCTTGTGAATGAAAGCCTTTATGGTCAAGACTCATCATCGAGGGAGTGGTTGAAACCACAGCCGCGACTGTCGTCATAAGTCAAGTTCCCATTCGCCGCAATAGCCGATGTAGACCGGCTGAGCCTTCACTCCTCTCCTGCAAAATTGGAATTCGTTACCTCCCTCTCGTCGAACCAGAAAGACCAGAAGAACCAGCTTGTAAACCTGAGCATGCGACATCTGTGCTGATGAATTCGGAAGAGCGCATCGTCCGTGTTCCCCAATACGTCGACGGGGTCGGACCAGAGTCGTTCGGCCACGGCAGAAGCTCTCGGCCACAATCGGGCCTCCAAATTCACTCCATCCACGAACTCTCCCCAAACTGCCGCCTCTCCCCCGACCACGAGAGACCGCTCCTCTTCGGTGCCTGAATGGACTCGTTATTCGTTACCGCTGTTTTTTTTTTTCCGTGTCCAAGATAATTCAGCAGAATTATGATCACCTGGAAAGTTGGTGGGATCGCATTCGTAGTAGCGTCTCCAGTCTTCTCCATACGAGATATAGTTCAAGTACCAGCAGGATGAGAAGATGACCTGATAACCCTTCCCGGTCACCATCATCATGTAATCTTGCCAGGACGAGAATTCACCGCCTAGTTCTCCATCCTTCCACACTTGCACCAGGGCGTCTCCTAACTTTATCCCCCCGTTCATCATTCGTCTTACCAAGAAAATCATAAAAAATTTAATCCGCTTGTGCTTTTTATAGGTTCCGTTCTTACATCGAGTCCAAGTTCAATGGGATCCTGGTAGGAGATGTAGCGAGAGCCCAGTCCCTGGATCATGGCCACGTGTCTATTGATGTAATACTGCTCAAGTTGACTGTAGTCCTGTATACCGTTTTCCGTCATGAAGTTCTGGATCTCTGGTGAGCTCTCCCAACAAGCATGTTTCACCTATCACAACACGAGTTGTATGAAGGGAGTATATGTGTACTTGCCCATCAGCAAGCATATTATGAAAGGAAAACAAACATACTTCATCCATGCCAAGATGGAGAAACTTGTCTTGAAACAAGTCTTTGAGTTCCTGAAATAGTGTTTTCATGAATTCATATGTAGAGTTCTTGCTCGGGTCCAGGACTTCTCTGTCAGCGTGATTCGGGTAATCTGGAGTGCCTGGATTCACCCCGTCTCCGTAGCACGCAGTCAGCAACTCTGGTACGCGTAAGCAACGGGATCGATTACAAGCTTGTTTTAGCTTTCTTATCGACATGAACTTATTGCGTACTTCAGCCGTCATATTCCGGATCTGCCGTCAGCCTCTCGCGATTAGGACACCTGGCTGAAATAGATAGTATGGACTGAGGAAAATACATGAAGCAAGCAAGTTCCATACCAGGATGCCCTTTTCTCATGGCATGGGTGTGTCCAGGGCTATCGATCTCAGGAATGACCCGGATGCCCCTCAATCGGGCGTATTCCATCACCTCCCTCACGTCATCCTGACGGAACAAATGCCGTTGCGTGTATGCCCCCTGCCGCAACGATGGAAAAAAATTTTCAATGAAGGTCAGGTCGTGATTGGTCGACAAGAGTGCATATCCACTGCTGTGATTGGCCGGAATAAGAGAGTGAACAGGGCACTACCATACCTTCTCCGACAGAAGGGGGAAGACTTGGCTTTGGTAGGGGAAAGCCTGATCGTCGGTGAGATGCCAATGAAAGACGTTGAATTTGTTGTAAGCCATCGCATCCAAATTCCTTTTCAACGTTTCCACGGTCAGGAAATGTCGCGCTGTATCCAGGAGAATCCCACGATGGGGAAACCTCGGCTTGTCTTCTATCTTAGTAACGTTTGCCACCGCCTGGAATTCAGATCATGGTGATAAGAGAGGGATTAGCGATGAGGTCCAGGATTTTACAACTTCGTTGGAGCTTTGGGCCTACAAATGAGTTGCCGTTGTCATCTTTCAGGGTCCAAACGAGCTGGGAGAATGTCTCCAGGCCTCTCAGGGCTCCCCAGATGGTCTTGGCTTCTACCTTGGCTCCTCCACTGGACGGAATGTCCAAAGTATCTGTTCAAATGTAGCAGTGCCTTCTAAGACGGAGACAATGGAAAAAAGTGATCTTTCTCGAATTCTGTTAATCTAACACCTACATGCTTCGTAATCCGGGTCGGAGTCCAATTGCGGGAAAAGAGTGCAATGCTCGTCGGTGAGGACTTGAATAGTAAGACTGGGGATAGCCACCAAATCTGAGGAAACGACGGCATCGGGATCGATGAAGATCAAAGGCCGATATCGGTCAATGGCTCCGGTGATGACGTCGCAGTCAGTGTTGGACGTAAGGAGAAAGTTGGAGGGATTCAACGTGACGAGCTCGCTCGTGTTCCCCCACACGCGGGGATGAGGCCATGGAGAGCCCGGCGGATATCGATAACCCTAGTCATTCCATTGGTCATTGTGAGACAAGAGCCGTCAGCCCTGGCCGATGTTCCGACTCACGAATTCAGATCACCGACATAGGGAACTCACCGGCAAGATGAAGCGGGCGGCCACGGGAAACAATTCCCCTTGGCATAGGGGAAGGACGAGGAAGAAAATCGCCAAAGTGTGCATGATGCTATCGCACAGACACGTCTCATGCCAGTCGAGTGAAGAGCCTCTCCATAATCCCAGTCGAGTAAAGAGACTCCAGAGCAAAACTTCTCGAGATAATGAAGAAGGACAAGTTTCCAGGCTTAGGGCGAGGAGCAGAATCAACCATATCGAACTCATCCTCGACTGCACGTGTTGGAAAGCACGAATCCCACCAGAAATAGAATGCGTGCCATCAGACTATCAACTGATATGCACTAAACAAGGTCCAGCTTCCTCAAAGAATGTCTGAAATGACGTTGACGCTTGTTGATCGCGCCATCTCACAGGCAATGACAATGCCATGTAGGCGACCAGGGGCCTTTTTCACAAAACTTCTTTAACTTTTCGTTAACTTTATTTCGGCTATATTTCGACTTGATCCCGGCTCAAAATAAAGAAAAAATAAAGACACCTTTGGAGGTCTCTCTATCTCGACTTTAACCTCTCTGAGGGCTATGAGGGCTATGCGTATTCTTAACACGTTGGCGACAATGCGTCCTGATGCCAGGATGCAGATTTTTTTTCAATGAATACCCTCTGGAACTGTCGAGAACGTTCCAGAAGATTATGATTTCGTAATTA